TAAAATATATTGTGTTTCATAACTATGCATTCATCAAGAGCACCATCTTATTGGGATTTTTTCTCTGAATTTCCATGAAATATTGTTTCAAATAGCTTCAATGATCTGTTTCTAATGTAATAAAAATAGACAGGTGCGATATGACATATTGACTGACGTCATGTTGACTGTATACTTATTAATCATGACCCAACGAAAATCGTTTTTTTGTTGTTTTCGTTATTTTGAACAGAGTTATTGCTTTGCTAATATTTATACAATATAGAATCAAAGTACACGAACTTAAGCATGTCTTCGTTGTTATTTTGGCAACAGAATAAAGCATTTAAAATTTGTTGTCTATCTCTTAAAATATTTTTTTTTCTCAAAATTAACAAGATGTAGCAGTATGATTCGGTCTTTTTTTCCGATTGGAAATATCAATAGACCATCCAAAATATATCCCTATTTATGCAATCGAATTATTATAACATTGATTGTAGCGCTAGAATACTATTCTAACATACAATATTATTACTGTACACCTCTTCGATTTCATTTTATTGTGAATCTTCTACAAAAACAATCGATAGTAACGAATATATCCGAAATGACCAAAGATCTTCGTATTTGTGATGATTATCTTCAATTTCAAAATCATTTAAAAGATTTAAGAAAATTAGATGATTTAATTATAAATACACTTAATACAACAGTTCTTACAGCTACATTTCGTTCTCAAGGTTCTGATGCAGCCAAACAATGTCAAAAACTTGGTGATGAAGTATTTTAATTATGTTTTTGAAATCTTTTCTTTAAATTTTATATGAATATTTAGATTGCTTCACGTGCAACATATCGTAGTGAATTAATTTCTTCTTGTTTATCACGTACAAATGATTTAATAGCAGAAAATGATTCGAATGATAGTCATCGTAAAGCATTAATATTTCAACGACGACAATTACAAAATGAACGTAATGTCGAAGAAATTGTTCGAACAAATACTGAGAAAGTAAATCAAACACAGAAAAGAAAACATTTTTTTCTACGTTATATATTTTTGTTATTTTTTTTTTTAATTTAGGCATTTTATGAACGTTGTCGAGATTTTTATACACCTTCTAAAACTGCCTCAACATTTTCATCATTGAAATGATTTAACACGAATAATAAGAAGCAAAGAGAACATTAGTGTGTGTGTGTTTGATTGTTATTACTTAGGCTGATTGGCAACTCAGTAATGATGTTATTAGTATAGTTTGAGATATTGTTTTCATTGTTTTTTCTTTGTTTTATATGCTGTCACTCTTGTTACCATAACTGATCTTTCTGTGCTTTCAGATTGAAATGAATACGATGTTTCAGTTTTTGTTTCACTTATAGGTAATAAAAAGACTCTAGCCATCTTTATTTCATTTTAATTATTATTGTTTGATTAGTTTATAAAGATGTCTGAAGTCTTTTAATAATATGATAGTATTGAAAAAAAAAGAATTATCTAAAATAGTTAACGAAATTATATTAGTTTATTTTTTTGTTTTTTTCTGAATGACCTAACAGTCGTACAAAATTTTCCGGGTTCTCATATGTTTAATTTGTTTAAATTTATCATAAGTTTGTATAACTTTTTATTAGTCTGTCTACTTTTCGGATATATAAATGTTAAAGTCCTGAAGAAAAATTTCAAAGTTCTGTTAAAACTCTCGAATTAACACTTGCATAGTAATTCTAATTGATTGACATTGATATTTGAGAATCTATTATTTTATGACAAGATAACTCTCAAATAAAAATTCGATTGATTATGAATTTTCTTGTATGAGCTAACAAGGGAACCTTATCAGATAACTCTTTTCGACTTCAATAGTTTTTCTACCTATACAAGATATCCTAAAAGTTATTTGTTAAATAAAACTTTAATAACTCTTCAACGATTGAAGCGATTCACATAAACTTTTCATCATTTCATAGGATATGCTTGGAAGTTTTATTTTATATGATGTCACCCTTAAGTATTGTTTCCAATGATCAGCATCTACTCTAAGGCATAAAACCAATGAATACAGCTAATTTCAAGATTAATATGATCTTATGATCGATTCTTATTAATAACAGCGATGTTGAAACAGACTTTATGCATCGGTTTTCTACAAATGTTTTGAAACAAAGTTTTATATCTTAGTGTTAATGCCGATCATTTGTAATAATAGTTATAAGTACAATCATATGAAGTAAAACTTCCAAGAATATCTTATGAATTGATGAACAGTTGATTGAATCATTGAAGAAGTATTGCACTTGTATGTCACAACTGACTTTTGAAGCATTCTGTACATATTACATAGTGTCCTAACTAAAATCCTAAAATCATTTTAGATTCCTATTAAGAATTGACTAAGCTATTGAATTTTTAATGTCTATTTTCTAGTGGCTAATATACGATCTCAAGTTTTTGAAAAAATTTTATCTTCGAATTTTGACCTGAAGCTTTGTGCATATAAAGACTTCAGCTTGATTAACTTCCAAAAAAAATTCAGAATTTTTGAACAAAGTCAACTCGAGATATGTAACTTTCAGAATATAGGTCTTTTTCCATGGATAGCGTACCATCATGCATTTTATTGAAAGCTTCGTATTTCGAAAAGACTACTCAAAACCTCTGAACTTTTTTATGAAAGTTAGTCTAGTAAAGTTCTCTATATGCGCAAGGTTTCAAATCAAAATTGAAAAATACGATTTTCCCTAAAATCTGAGGTCGTACAGGATCCTCTTAAAAATAGACATGTTAAAAAATCGCCAATGTAGTTAAATCTCAATAGGAATCCAAACCATTGTAGGATTTTTATTAGAATATTATTTAATATCTATACACAAAAAATTATTGATATTAGAAGAATGCATCTGAATAGGCTTCCTCGTAAGTTATGAACATAGTTCTAATATGAGCATTCTTTTGAATGACATCCATTATTTTTTTTCATTTTCAGTTTCTTATCAGATTTGAAAATGTGGAAGTTCGAAGGAGAAAAAAGGTAACTACGTAAGTTCCATTTATCTGTAAGATTACTTCTGTCTTAATTGGAAAGGATAATTTGTAATTTATTTCTTTTTATTAGCAAATTTTTGTATCGTTGAATTAACATTGAATATTAGAAAGAAAAAACAATACGGAATATATTGAATTGATCGTTTAGTTTCTAGAAAAATAAACGTTTTGAATTGCCGCCCAAATTTATATTTCTTATACCAATTTGTATGAGCATTTTGTGGACGTGCCGACAACAATATTCTCAATTAATTGTTCGACATTTAACTTCACAGATCATTCGACCAATAATAATGGGCAATCTATTTAACAAAAATCGTAAGGCACCCTACCCTGGTACTACAGATGTTTATGTAAGATTTTATTAAATTTAAACATGAACTATTATTATATTTATTATGAATTAGAGAACAGCCATATCCAATGAAAAAATTCCTTGGAATGTCGATTGGCCTGATTATGAACCAACTGAATACACATCAGAAAAAGTTTTGCAAAACCCACCATGGGCTGATGATCCTAATGCGTAAGAATGTTAAAACTTTATTATGTTCTTTATAAATTTATTTTTATAGAAAAAAGATTAAAAATTATAATGCATTGGATGGACAAATTGATAGAAGAAGTTTTATGGGTAAGTATGAAATTGATCAAGAAACAAATCGACCAAAAAATCCTCGAGGTCGTACTGGATGTATGTATTGAAATTCCAATATTTTGACTTTAATTTATATGATAAACGTTGTTTTTAGTGTCAGGTCGTGGTTTACTTGGTCGATGGGGACCGAATCATGCTGGTGACTCGATTATAACACGCTGGTCAAAAGATCAATATGGTAGCAAACAAAAAGTTTTAGAAATTCTACTCATCACTCGAAAAGATACTGGCAGTTTAGCTTTACCTGGTGGTATGATTGATCCAGGGTAAATATTTATATATTGCACTATAAAAGTTTTTTCGCCAGCTCTTAGGATAAATATTCAACGGCTGATTTTAATACATTTATTTAAAGTACTGTCTTTCAGCATCAACACGATTGTACATTTGAACAAACTAGTTTTAATATTATGTTGTCGTCGTCGAACTGAATTCAATATAGTTGATTTTTGGCTTTTGAGAATAAGAAGTCACAGGAACTTAGATTTGAAGATGAGAATTTAAAGATTGCTTTGCTGACTTCGCTATGATACAGTTTTGAAGACTTATGTCTACAGAGTTGTAGACATACCAAATTGAGTTTAGGATAAAATCAGTTTTTAAAAGCATCAACTTGATCACAACTAGATTTCAAAAGAAAAAGCCACTATTCTATTGTCTGCGCTTTTGTTTGAACGAGCTTCGATTGCACATAGTTCATTTTTGGTCTCTCAAACTTTTGATTTCTTTTTTGTTTTTGGATCATGATAATAGAATCGTGATTTGTCACCAGTTACAATGTTGAATACACGACAAGATTGACTTTCTTCAAATCTCTTCAATGAAAGACGACAATATTCGATACGCTACTATTATTGAATGTTGATTAACTAGTGTGGTATTTCACTGAGCACAAGCTTTGTAAACTTCAATTAGTTGTGAATAGTGAAATTGATTGCTGGTGAACTAATACTCAAGGTATTTTCTATTTGTTCGTATGTTGAATGGTAATCACGGTCAATTATTGTTCGCACAGCATCATTCGGTTGTTCATTAACAGTTGCTCGAGGACGACCTAAATGAACAGCAGCTTTAACCCTAAAACTTATTTGCTGGAAGTCATGAAACCAATGGAAGCTCTCTGCGGTTTGAAGTTGCTTGGTCCTTTCCTGCTTATACTAAATGAGTATGGCTGTCCTTGTATGTTAGATCCATTTTATAGTCATGTGAAAGTAGAGTATGAAATTATTCATGTGAGATTTGAAAAATTCATATCGAAAATGACGTGACCGTGATCTGAAAGATATGAAATAATATAACGATATGTAAGACGTGGAAGTCTGAGATTTTTCACATAATTCTAAATATGTCTGAGACTTTTAATAGAATTCTTGTCATTCAATTATAACTTTTAGAAGAACTGAACGACAAAACTTTTGTAGTGCCGTATGCATTATATATTTTATCCATTTAACTGATAAGTCTTTGTTTAGTGAACAGGCATCAACAGCAATTAAACGGGAATTTATTGAAGAAGCTATGAATTCGAATCCTGATGCTGCCGCACAAATTGAAGACTTATTTCAATTAGCTACTTCAGTAAAAATATATATATATTATTTCAAATCATCTAAAATGCATTTATTGTTTTTAAATAGGCCTACAAAGGTTATGTTGATGATCCAAGAAATACAGGTAAAAAAGCTATTATTGCAATCCCTGCAGAATTAGAATATGAAACATCATGCAGATGCTCTTGCTAATCACTGGAAGATTGTTTATTCTATTCATTTTGAAACACATTTCTCCATCACCTTTTTTACTTAATCCTTCAGAAATGCAATCAGCAAATAGTAACGAGACGTTATTGATATATGTCTGTGATCGTATATCAACAATGTCTATCACGATCTGTGATGGTCTCTGCTTTTCATCTATTAGCTTGTATTTACTTCTACTTGGCGTCTGCCATAGTCGGTTAGGCAGGAGGGGAGAGGAAGTCCAAATTTTTTATTCGTCGGCTTCAATACTTCATTTAGATCATGTTTCATAAAATTGAATTATAGTGAAAGAAAAGCCTATTCTCTTCGTTTATTATAGACAATTCCTGGATGGAAACTGAAGCAATGAATATGCATGATGAAACGGGTGAATTAACAAAAAGTTTGCAATTAGAAGCAGGTAATTATTTGATTTTTTTATTGATTTTTAATTGATTCAATTTTTTAATTAATTCATCTTGAATTTGAAGAGAACCATGATATTGTTTCTTGAAATTGTTCAATAAAAATGAGTTTTTTATTGTTCTTTTTGGGTTAGCATTCATATTTGATGGTTTATTATTAAATTCAGATGATATATTTGATGATGTTGATAATTGTTGTGCTTTAAGATATTGTACCATTTCACGATATAAATCAGATCGACCAACTTGACTAATTAAATAAACAAGTTCATCAAGAGTCATTCGATAACGACGTGGAGGAAGGCAAGGTTTTGCTTGATGTGAAACATAAGATGAATACAGTGGATTTTGATAATAAGATGGTGGAATAAATGTTTGTTGAAAAGGACTAGGTGAAATTGGCTGAGGTAAAGGAAGTGTTGATTTTGTATATGACGGAGAATTATTTGGTGATAATTTAGGTGTTAAACTTGATTTAAAATTAGGATCTTTTAAATAATTATCGAGTAAAAGTTCCCATGATGTACGAGGTGGTGGTGGTTTAATAAGTGATTTCATTCGAGATAAATTTTGCGATGGATTAAATTCTAAAGTATTTTCTACCAACTTTTTGTTCGTTTTCTTGTTAATCGTATCATCATATGCAGACGTTTTAGAAAAATATAAAAATAAAATCTATTAATGATAGTTGATTATTCCTAGATCGAAATTAATCATAAAGGAAATGTTTAAAGAACTTATTTTATTCATGTAATAATACAAACAAAATACAATTTAGAAAGTTAATGCGCGTTTTTCTTTTTTAATTTGTCTTTTTCTTTATAGGCGATGATGCATCACATGTAAAATGGGTTCGTTTTGATCGTCATTATAAGTTACATGGATCACATGAATCTATTATACAAATGGTTATTAAACAGCTTGGAGCATATGAATATTGGAGTGATAATTAAAAATCAGGTTGATCAACTATTGTCACGAACAATAAAAAAACTCATTCATATTTTTACTCTATATAAAACTAATCTTTCTTTTTCATATCTTTTTTTTCCTTTTATTTTTATTATTCTCACTTTCAGTCAATCAGTTAAAGGTAGTTGAATATCATATTTTTGAAACTAACGATATCAAAAAACACGAATTTATCATGTCAACAACAAAAAAAATTCTTTACAAAATCAATAAACCATATCTATGAATAACAATATTTAAGCTATTAAAATTTAGAAAATATTCATAAAAATTTGATATTATGATCTGAATAGAGCATACAATGACGTATCTTTTGAAAAAAATATCACCGTTTTTATCATAGAGTTATAGACAAAACAAGGAACATCGTAAACTTTTTGTCACAATCGGTAATAATAATTTGCGTTAATGAATCTTAATAAACTCAACATATCTTCAAAACCACCACTATTATTTGCTCTGTAAAGGACTTTATAATAACATCCTATTTGATCCTTACGCTTATCTGTTCGTTTTATAGTTTTATTGTTGAGGTTTGACACGAATATAAGTTGCATTATCCTATTCAAATGTCCATAGATTTCATACTAGAGCAATTGATCCTCTCCTGTGTATTGTTTATTCTGTTTGCATTTACCTATTTATAACGAATCCAAAAAAAAAATAAGACATGATTTCTCGGTTGATCTTTTGAAATGAAACATTATTATGACCTACCAATGACATTCATACCTTCCAATGTGATCATTTTTCTTTAACTGTAGAAAATAGCATATTTCCAAATAATTAATTATTCAGAAATATTATTTTCTACGAATTGAACCGTAAAAGCGATTTTATTATTTTTTAAGCTATTTTGTATCAGAATCTAAATTTAGTAAGTTAGGTACTTGAAAATAATAAAAGTCATTCAAAAATCACTCATATATTTCTTCGCATTTGATAGCTCAGATCTATGATTTCGGCACCGGGATTCATGCATTTCCGACAGATTATTTTCGTCAGAAAGAGGCTCTTTACAACCGTAAGTGGACAGAGCCAACCACTGTATGTGATCAACAGCTTCCTGTTTCCAAGTTCTTACTTTTATCCCGACTTTTCCTACCAGAAATAATCTGTATTTCGTGACGTACGATGATAAAAAATACCTAAAGAGTGGTTACCATAACTTATTTTTTTCGGATTTTATTTGAACCATCAGATTTATATGGATTTATCTATTGGTAGTATATAATATATTGTAATTATATCTAAAGAGAATTATACTTTTAAAAAGTCAACCTTCACTCTTAGCTAGACATCTGCTTTCAGCCTAGTTTCTTTCGTTTGGTGATTATATTTATATATAGGAATTCATAGAAAACTTCCAATAATTCCCAAAAATAAAACACGCAAGCTATTATGAAACAGAACACGAATAATAACGAAATAAATTCATTATTTTCTGTAGCACGTTTGTATTTATTATTATTCCAAAAAAAAAGAAAAAAAACAAAAGAAATTATGTAAAGTTCACTGCTTTGTTTTTGATGCTCGTTTAACAGCTGTATCATGATTTTTAATTAATTCACGATATTTTTCTGATTTAACAAATTTATCATATTCTCTATGCATGTTTTCATCATACGAACATAATTCAATAATAATTGATTGTTTATTTAAAACAATTTTTAATGGTTTTTCCATTAACTTTTGTTTTGTTTCAATTGTATCACAATCAACAACGAATTGATTTGATATATCATTTGAATTTAATATACAATTTAATGGAACGAATTCAATTGATAATATTGGTTGTTCACTATTAGAATTTTCTTTTGTGGATGAATTTTTTAAACGTTCCATAAGAGCATCAAATAAACGTTGATGATCAATACTGATTGTTACATCTGATGGAAGAATAGCTAATAAAGCATTTGGTTTTTTCTCTGGTGGTCCATTAAAATACCAAACTTTACGATTATTTAAACGTTTTTTTAATTTTTCATATGTTTCTACATTCATTTGACCGTTTTCATCGATTTCATCACGTGGTACATCATAATTAATGCCACCGGGAAAATAACTAAAATGAAAATAGGATAATTGTTTTTCTTTTTCTTTTGAGCGCCTATTGTTTCACATTACCTGATATCTAATGAATTAGCTTTGACATCTTCTAAAAGTTTATTGTGAACAAGCTCAGTAACTAAATCTGATTTACGTAATGGATCTGATCGTGTAACAAGTGTTATAAAACAATCATTATATTCACGTGGTATTGTTGTTAATGGTTTATCATTATCAATTTGTCTTATAACAAAACGCATTGGATTTTCAAGTTTAACTAATTCAGCTTTATGTGTTCGAATTTTATCAGCATATTCTTCAATGATTTTTTCGATATTTGTTACTTGACCTTTTGTTACAGAAGCCGAATCAAAAACTAAATATATACATATGTAAAGAAAAAAGTGGAATTTTACTTTTGTATTTTATAGTTTAATGAATAGATTATGATTTAACTCAAGAAAAGCAAAATACTGCTTTTGATGTGATAGGAACTATACAATTTTCTTTTTACATAATTTCATTAGAATTTGTTGTCATTTAAAAATTGAACGTTCTACAAAAACTTACAAATTTTTGGTTTATATTCAACAAATTTAGTTGTTAATTCTTGATGTATTTCGTCTGATGTCATTCGTTGATGTGTATTTTTCATTCGACGAAAATATTCCATAAGATGATCAGCATCAGCATCAGATAAATTTTTATAAAAGGTTTTTGATGGCCGTATTGTGCCCAAAATAAGTAAACGACGGGCATTTTCATTTAATAAACTTGGTCGACGTTCACGTTTTGAATTATCATCAATACCATAATCGTCAGCATAATCGAAATCCGATGGAGATGATGTATTTTCTTCAGCAGTTATTGGTGTTGGATATTTTTTAATTTGTTTTGATTTATGTTCATGTTCAATTTGATCATCATTATCAGAATTAAAAGAATTTCGACGATATTGATATGATTGTATTGTCGAATCAACTACTGTAGGCTTTGTTCGTTCATTTGTATTAACGGTTCGACTATGTCGATTATCATTTACATTAGAAGAACTTGATGGTATCCGTGGTTGATTTTGGGACATATCATTAAGATTTATTACAGGTACATGTAGTAAATCACTACGCTGAGATGTTCGTGCTGATTGTAAACCTAATAAAAACGAAATTATACAATTAGATTGCGTTCAAATCTATCTTTTCTAGCGACTATTATATACAATAAGACAAGTTTAAGCATAGCGAGCAAGTATGATAACCATACCCTTCCGAACAGTATAATAATTACGATCATGACACATACACCTTAAATGTCTCTGACATCTCCGAACATTTCTTAATCTTGCTGGAAAAAATTAGAATTTTGTTGTTTGTTTTTTTTTTGTAAGTAATGATTGAAAAAAATTTTAATTACATGTAAACCTTACCATCGGTACTTTTGCTGGAACTTAATCGTTGATCAGTTATATTAGTAGGTGATGGAGAATGATTATCTTCATCATTTTTATTCTCTATTGATGAACGACGATCATCTTTGTGAGAACGTCGGTTTGATTCATGTCCTGTAATTTTACTACCAGAATTACGAGCAGTTGGTTTTGTTACTTCATCTTGACCAGTAGCCTGTTGTTGACCCAATTGATAATCAATAACAGAAAGAATTTTAGATTGACTTGATGTTGGCATGTATGAACTGTTTATGCGAACAGAAAAACGACTGATGATAAGAAACAAAAAAAACAAAGTATATATAAACTTACTTGGTGACAAAAATTTAAGAATAAGAGAAGAAAAAACAAACGCACGATTATTTAAATCGACGTTAAAATGTCATAATGCAGTCGATGAAAATGGATAGGCAAATGTTTTGATGCTTTTTTTTTGCAAATTTAACGAACACGAACAACGATGATTACTTTGCAAAGTTGTTTTTTCGTGTTCTATAAGCAGAAAAGATGTAAATGAATGAGTTAGGGATTGTATTGAGATCAGAACTGTAGCAACAACACTCCAATCTCGTTTATTCTTTATTCTTTTTTTTTTCTTGCTCTTGTCTCTTCTCACCTTGCCATTGTGTTAGCGTATATTGTTGACATAGGGCAAGAAGAAGAAAATAAAAAATGATGACTAGGAACCATATCAATGATGACAGTTGCAAAATATCGATAGAAACAGGAAATGACAACTTTTTCATTCATTTTTTTCTTTCGCTTTCGAAAAGGAAACGCGTTATAGATTTTATTCTTTTCTACCCTTAGAACAAGATTAAATCCTTGGTCAATCGAACAAAAGGATATTTATTTACTCTTGAGGATCGGCGACCATGAAAAGTAATCTTTGTTCTTGAATCGATGTCAAGAGTAAAAGTAAAAAAAAGAAAAAAAAAAAGAAATGGTTTGTTACTTCAAGTTGATTGAAATTCAATAAGACAAAAAAAATGAAGTGCTCCAAATCTCAATTCTTATCTTTTAATACGATGACATATAACTCTTATAAATCATAAATCTTTATCAAGTCATAATGAAATGTTATCAAGGT